TGGCCTCAAGCAATCCATCCTCCCACCTTGGCCTCCCAAAGTACTGGGATTATAGGTGTGAGCCAACACATCTGACTAGTTTTTGTCTTTTCATTTCTTCTGTTGATTGGTATACATTTTCAAGTAATTATTTTTCAGCAAGGACATGTCAGTGTTAAATTTTGTATGCCACTATAAAGCGGAGAATTCTTTCTCCTGTTCTCCCCTGTAAAAGGTAACACTGTTTATAAGATTTTTGTGTTGTACCCTGTTGTCCGTCTCCTTCTGTCTGCCAGATATAACCATATACACACATACAGTCACTGCTCCTTTCATTTTTCTAGCACTTACTGTGTCAGAGAAGTCCATGACCAAAATAACAAATACCACAATCTGTTAAATTTTTCCAGGGTACATCTATATGTGGGTCTTTATATTTTTATTCTCTAAATGTGATTATGCCTAATTATTGCTTTTATTCTTCTTATATTGATTTCTTATTTGGTCCCTAGCTTGAGCCTCTGATTTCTATGCTTCATTTAAAACATGTTATATCTCATTTTAATGTGATTACCCCTTTCTTCTCAATCTCATCGAACATTGTCTTCCATATGTTTTCTGTTATTGACTGTAGCTCATATGAATTTTGATCCTGTTATTTGCATTTTTAGTTTACCCACATTTTCCTTTTCTAATATACTTTCTTATTTCATCCTGTGTATTCTTTAGGGATTTGAGCTCCTATTTCATACATGTGTGTTTTTGCATTTTATGGAGTATGAAAAACAGTATTCTAAAATGTTCTTTTGATTTCTGTAGATGATCATTTTCATTGTTTTCAAGCTGATGTTCTTATTGCTTATTCAGAAATATCTTCCTTAGGCTGATTTTTATTTGTTCGTGTATTTCTTTTCCTTCATTTTTTAATGAGGAGAGACATGAGTAGACTCAGTACCTGTCTTGCATCTTTTTTTGTTAACATATTTGCTTAGAGTCACTCTTGTTACTGCTTTTGTTCCTTTGGGTTCTAGTTGAATTGTCACCTAAGATTTATAATGAAGAAGCTTATAGGTATAAAAAGTTCCTTGTCAAAATCCAGTATCTGGCAGGTTTTTTTTTTTTTTTTTGAGACAGAGTCTCACTGTGTTGCCCGGGCTAGAGTGAGTGCCGTGGCGTTAGCCTAGCTCACAGCAACCTCAAACTCCTGGGCTCAAGCGATCCTCCTGCCTCAGCCTCCTGAATAGCTGGGACTACAGGCACGAGCCACCACGCCTAGCTAATTTTATTTTTTATTTCTATTTTTAGTTGACTTGCTAATTTTTTCTATTTTTAGTAGAGACGGGATCTCACTCTTGCTCAGGCTGGTCTTGAACTCCTGAGCTCAAGCGATCCTCCCGCCTCGGCCTCCCAGAGTGCTAGGATTACAGGCGTGAGCCACCGCGCCCAGCCTCCTCACCTATTCTTACAATATCAGTCATATTGAATTAAGGGCCTACCCTATTCCAGTATGACCCCATCTTAACCAATGACATTGTCAATGAGCCTATTTCCACGTAAGGTCATGTTCTAAAGTACTGGGGATTAGGGCTTTAGTATATCTGTTGGAGTACACAATTCAACCCTAATGGTGCTTAAGACTGATTGCCTTGTTTCTTTTGCAGGCGCAGTAGCTTTTTAAATAGAGTTATTTAGATTTGAGTGAGATGGATTTTTTTGGTCAAAAATACTTCTGTAAAAGATAGAACAAATAGTCTCTTTCCATGGGTATTGAAGGGCAAGCATTCTCTAAAATTGATAGTACACACAAAATATTTAAGGATCAATTCTATGAAAGGCACTGTCATACGTGCTTGGGGTTATACAGGTTGATAAGACACAATTCCTGTTCCAAGAGAAGTTATTGTTTATTGACATAGTCCAGACTTGGTATTCCCAAAGTAAATCTAAATGAAATGCCACTGATAGACTCTCTTTATTTTTTTATTCTTCAGTATAAATAGCTAAACAGTTTCAAAAACATTAAGAATTGATATGAGAATCTTTATAATATGTAACTTTGATCTTTGGTACATCAGCTTTCATGTTCAAGTAAGCAAGCTCTCATTTTCAGAATGTTCAGATGCATTTTTTTTCTTGAATATTTTCAGTCTGCAGGTGGTTGAATCCATGGATACAGATGGCTGACTTTATGTATATGTTTTTGGGGAGGAGATGAGGGTGGGGAGGCATATCTAATGGTAGTTAAAAGAATTTTCAGGCAAACAGAAAACTCTTGAATTAAAATTTTTATTCTGCTGTTAAGTTGATGTCTAATCAATGACCTGGCTCATCTTGATGCCAGGCTTACAGTGTTGCCTTTCTAGATATGGTAGCATAAATTATATTGTGGACATCTACTTTAGGGTAGCCTTTTTTTTTCTGGTTGACATTCTTCCAAGAAAGATATGTTGTACTGATCTGGACAAGGTCTGAATTAATATTCAAGACAGAGGGTAGAATAGGTTCTATTTGAGAATAGGTTTAAAAACATTAGATTTCATCATTCTGCAAAAATGAAGGTTGATTGCAGAAAAGGAAACGGGGACAGAGGAGGAAGCACAGTAGAGAAAGAAAGGGAAGGGAACTAGTATTTGTCAACTATACTAGGTGATTTTAAAGACTTTAGTCTATTAAATGGTTAATCTCAAATCTTGGTATATTTTTAGATACCAAGTCTATAAACCTTAATATCTGTTAGGTGGTAGGATACATGAGAGAAAGTGTTTTTCTTATAATGGAGTTTTTATTGATTCTTAATTCGTAAACTAGTTTATTACAGAAAAATTAGACGTCTTATTAGAAAATACTCTAATGGTAGTGGTGTTAGATATCTGAAGATTTATAAAAT